AAGCCTCTCAAGGGAAATGCATTAACTGAAAACTTGTTCGAATTGACATTACAAAGTAGCTGATTGGGATTTAGCTCAAATTTCATGGGGTCATCAATCTGATCAATTCCGTTCTTGGAATTGTTATTAAGCCGATGCACCCATTTCATTTGATCACCCACCCTGGTTTCATGCCTTATCCTGGTTCAGGAACGAAGCAAATCTTTTGAGCATGGCCACAGCATTTTCACACGTTGGATTGAATAAATGGAAAACATGGTTCTCTCCTTCAGACTCCATTATCTCAATTTCTCCACCCCATCCACTTTCCTTCAGTTTCTCATAGTAGTAACATCCCCTGTGCTTCAGTATGTCCTTCTCTGCAACACAAACAAGCACCCTGCTGCACCCAAGTCCCGCCAAGTCTGGACCTTTCAGCGGATTCATCCATGGGTCATCGCACCCGCTTGTCGCTGGAGAGGCCAATCGCCAAATTCCCTCTATTTTCTCCCTCGTAGCTAAATCCTTAATCTCATCTCCGACCGGTTCAGTGCCCCAGAAATAAGGATGCGTTAAATTAATACCTGTAACAGTAAAACCTTCCAATTTCTCCTTGCCGATCCTCATGGCCATGTGATGGGCTATGTTGGCACCGGCGCTGTCACCAGCGAAGAACACTTTCCCAAAGTCGGGGTGGCTGTTCAGCCAATTTTCTGAGCCGTTACCACCGGAATGGGAGGCGACCCATTTGAGAGCGGTCCATGAATCGTCGTATGAAGCCGGAATTGGGTGCTCTGGAGCTCTCCTGTAATCGACCGAAACTGCAATTATATTGGCTTCGGCAACCAGGGTGTTGAGATAATTGTGGTAGGAGGGGGAAAAGGCCGTTTCAATGCAAAAGCCTCCGCCATGGAAATAGATCAGAAGCGGAAGCTTGTCGCCGGGGTTGGTGGTTTTTGGGATGTAGAGCCGGTTAGATAGGCCATTTTCCGGAGAGTAGAGGACGTCTTTGGAATCGACGTTTGTTTTGGGATCGAGGCCTGGAGGGACAACTTCTGTGCCCATGAGCCTCTCTATGCGGCCATCTTT